CTGCGCTGATTAGGCCTCAGATGGAGTATTGGGCTCAGTTCTTGGCACCACATTTCAGGAAAGATGCGAAGTGACAGTGGGCAGGTGTGGATTGGTAGAGTGCTCTGGTAAGAACTGGCCACTGGTACTGGCCTGCGCACAGACCATTTTCGCTCCCTGCCAGGAGGGTCTGGCAGCACTGCTGTGGCCAGGCTGGCCTCACTATGAGGTGAACTGAGGCAGCTGCCTCAGGTGCCAGACTGAGGGGGAAAGGTGCCACTAGGACCCAGAGTGTAGAAAATTGTCTGCTGCTGGTGCATATGTATTCTCTCTGCAGTACCGTGAGAGGAGTAGAACAGGAAGAAGGCAGAATTGAGACCTTACAAAGTTTTGGCTCAAGAGAGGGGGCAGGGGGTGTCATTTGAGCTCCCCGCCTCAGGTGCTAAAATGTTGTGGGCCGGCCCTGGCTGTAGCAGCAAAGTTAGTGCTGCCAGATCCTACTGACCAGGGGTGCTGACGGGATGGTAGAGCAATAGAGGCAGCTGCTCTGGGGGGGAAAGTGGCAATTTAAAAGAACATGAGGCTCTCACCTGATGTCAATGGCTTGGGGTGGGTCTGCCTCCACCCATGTTCCTTCTGCTTTTCTGCACTCCAATCCTTTGCTAAGGATTCTGGGCCAGTGCACCAATAAGTCCTGGTATCTACTTTCATCCCTGGGGGAGATGTGGACAAATTTGGGAAGGTCCAGAAAGTTCTAGAAAACACAACCTGTGCAGGGAGACGGAAACATGAAAACCCTTTTCAAATATATTGTTGTAGCAAGAAGGTGGATTGGTTCTTCTTAACCTCTGAGGACACACTGTCCTCAGAAGCGACGAGGAGTCCTGTGGCACCTTATAGTTAGTCTATAAGGTGCCACAGGACTCCTCGTCGCTTCTGAGGACAGTGTTATGCTTATAAGAAGCACATGGGATCTTTATAGGGGAAAAGGCAATATGCTGCCTTTCTTAAGAATACAATAGTAAAACAGTTAGCATCTGCTTACATAGACTCTCTCACACAGTCCGACCAATCAATGTTATATTGACCATGGACCATGTCTTTCTGGTGGACAACCAGTTCGATCACTGATAGGAGTAGGGCTTTATTGGTCCATACCAAGGCTCCTGTCTTGGCAAGGTGTACCCCAAAATTATGGCAAAACAGCTCCTTTTTATAGCAGTTCTCCCTCACTGGGGATCAGTACTTTTTGCACTGTCCTGCTGTAATTAATCACTGTTTGATGAGATCTTATTTTCTTAAATTGTTCTTCTCCCTATCACAACTGTCTTACCTCCATAGGTGGTTGCTTATCTTGTAGTATTGTCAATCTGCCCTTCCGCAGTCTCCTGGCGCTTTTGCGTGGGTCCTGGGCATCTCCCTACAACATCTGGTCTGGTGATGGCCTTCCCGGTCTATCACTCCTGACCCACATCCCTCATTCACGCGCACACAACAGCATTGATTTCTTTGTTGACCTAGCCGCACTATGAATATTTAAGCAAATGACAATTCAACCAATCATCGTCCTTAATTTCACAATTCTAACTGCAAAATGACAACTCTAAGAATCTGTTCCTGCCTTGGAGTCAGCTGGAGACACAATATTTGGCTGGTGCCCGGCAGCGGACCCTGGCCCCACGGCTGCGCCTGAAGCTACATTGGGGGGACTGGGCTACAGGGGCCCAAGAAGCCAGGGCTTTCAATTGCCCCGGGAGCGCAGGGGAGAGG